AGACAAGGTTTCTCTGCGTAGCTTTGCGCCTTTCCTGGAGCTCACTTGGTAGCCCAGGCTGGCCTCGAACTCACAGAGATCCGCCTGGCTCTGCCTCCAGAGTGCTGGGATTAAAGGCGTGCGCCACCACCGCCCGGCCACTGTTTATTTTTTATTCATTTGTTTTTTCAAGACAGGGTTTCTCTACATAGCTCTGGCTGTCCTGGAACTCAGAGATCCGCCTGCCTCTGCCTCCCAAGTGCTGGGATTAAAGTGTGCGCTGCCGCCGCCACCACTACCCAGCCATTCATTTTCCTCTCCATAATTTATTTAATTTTATTTTATGTGCATTGGTGTGAAGGTGTCAGATCTTCTGGAACAGGAGCTAAAGACAGTTGTGAGCTGCCCTGTGGGCACTGGGACTTGAGCCCAGGTCCTCTGGAAGAGCCTCCAGTGCTCCCAACCCCTGAGCCATCTCTCCAGCCTCCAGCCGTTCATTTTGTAAATTTGTGTGTGTGTGTGTGTGTGTGTGTGTGTGTGTGTGTGTATTCCTTCACGAGTTCATGTACTGCTGTGGGCTACCCCTCTGTATGCTGTGAATATGTTTTATTACCATTCATTAATAAAGAAGCTGGCCGGGCGGTAGTGGCGCACGCCTTTAATCTCAGCACTTGGGAGGCAGAGCCAGGCGGATCTCTGTGAGTTCAAGGACAGCCTGGGCTACACAGTGAGGTCCAGGACAAGCTACACAGAGAAACCCTGTCTCAAATAAATGAATAAAATAATTTAAAGATGCTACTTTGGCCCTACAGCAAGGTACAATAGAGCCAGGCAGGAAATCCAAGCAGAGATACAGGGAGAAGAAGGGAGAATTGGAGACAAACACCAGCCAGCCACCAGAGGAGCAAGATGTATTAGAACACAGGTAAAGCCACAAGACACGTTGCAACACATAGATGAATAGAAATGGGTTCATTTAAGTTGTAAGAGCTAGTTAGTAATAGGCCTGAGTAACAGGCCAAACAGTTTGTAATTAATATTAAGCCTCTGAGTGATTATTTTAAAAGCAGCTGTGGGACCAGACAGGACAGAAAGCCTCCGTTTTATAATGTACACCACCTGTAAATAGGTGCCTGCAGACGCCAGAGGGCTTCAGATCCCTTGGAGCTAGAATTAAGGAGGTTTTTAGTTACTTATAGGTACTAGGACTGTGGGAGCCCGTTCTGGGGTTCCTCGTGGCTTTACCCAGCAGGTCCGAATAGAGGATGATCAGGACCACGGGCCTGAGTGCAGGTGTCTGAGATGGCCTGCACTTGGCTGTGCTGGGGGAGGAGGTCTTTTGCTCCACCCCCTTGGCGTCTCTATAAAAACCCTGGACCAGAGACAGTCGGGGCCCGTTGGAATAGGTTCCAGGCCCTCTCGAGGCTATCTTTTATTTTCTATCTGTTTATCTCCGCAAGATTCTCCACTATAAATCCTTCTATCTAATATTTCCTGCTGATCGCACTCAAGAAAACTCTGGGAAGCTGTGGGGGTGGTGTGTAAACGCCCCACATAGGACCCAAACCTAGATAGATGTTATGGAAGAGCAGTCAGTGCTCTTAACCACTGAGTCATCTTTCCAGCCCTGCAGACCCGTAGACAAATTCCATTTATTTATTTATTTATTTATTTATTTATTTATTTATTTATTTATTTATTTATTTTCTTTTTTGTTTTGGAAACCAAGTTTGTCTGTGTAGCCCTGGCTGTCCTGGAACTCACTATGTAGACCAGGCATGCCTCAAACTCAGAGACCCACGTTCCTCTGCCTCCTGAGAGCCGGGATTAGAGATGTGCACCCCACCACCTGGTGAAGGAGGGTCTCTTATTCTTTGCTGTGCTGCTAGGCCAAGAGCTTCCTGGCAATTCTCCTGTCTCTGCCTTGCTTCTTAACAAGGTGATGGGATTGCAGGTGTGCAAGGACTGAACTCAGGCTGTCAGGCTAATATGGCAAGAGCCTTTACCCAATGAGCCGTATTCCTGGCCCCTACACTGTGATCTTGATCTGGACTCAATACTGAGAACACTGGAACAACTAGTGACACTGATAAGTCACTTACCTACACTAAACATCATTTGTCCTATGTCAAAACCTAAAAATGATGTCATTATCCTAAGATTATGGCAAGGATTACAAAACAAAGCTGAGACCAGAGTACAGAACTTGTGCTCAACAAATAAACAGCCCAGAACCTGGCCTCATGGATCTCTCATTTCATCACAGTCCATTTGCCAATGCTGGAAGGATGGGCTTCCTCTCTGTTCCTGCCTTGCCCTGATACCAGACACCATGCCCTCCAGCCTGGCGATATGCCAGGCTCAGTTCTCAGCACCCCACCCCAGCTCTCAGTTTGCCTGGCAGGCAGTCCTTCACAAAGATAATACATAGAACACAATCTGGCTGGCTACAGCTCCTAGCATGGTCCTCCACAACTCTTGTGAGGTAAAGACATACAAAGCAGTCTGTGCACGGTGGTAAAACCTGTGATCTCGGCTGTCTGAGAACCTAAGGTAAGAAAATGAAAAGCTCAGGGCCAGAATGTTCTATATACATGGTGAGTTCAAGGCCTGTTTCAAAATAAAAATAAAAACTATCCCAGCACTGAGAGGCAGAGGCAGGTAGAACTTTGTGAGTTTAAGGCTAGCCTGATCTACATAGCGGGTTAAGGATAGCCAGGGCTATGTAAAGAGACCCTTTCTGAAAAACAAACAAAAATAAAAACCCACAAAAAATAAATAATAGAGAAAGGAAAAAGCAGGCTGGAGAGGTGCTTCAGTGGTTAAGAGCAATAGCTCTTGCAGAGGAACCAGGTTCAATTCCCAGCACCTACATGAAGGCTCATAACCATTTGTAACTTAATTGCCAGGGGAATCCAACATCCTCTTCTGGCCTCTTCCTCCTCTAGAAGGAACACATATAAACACAAATAATTTTGTTTTGTTTTGTTTTTTTAAAGGGGGAGAGCTAAATGTTAAAGGCATAGCCTTTAATCTCAGCCCTCTGGAAGCAAGTAGATCTCTGTAAGTAGGAGGCCAGCCTGGTCCACCGAGCAATTTCCATCAGACTGCAGCTATATTTCAGTGGTACGGCTCTTGCCTAGTGTGCAAGGAGGCCCTCATATGGAGATGAATGGGAATGAGGAAACCTAAAGTCCATGCAATTCTGCCCTGACGGTCACTCCGGCCTGTAATCCCGATACCAAGGCCTGCCATTGATGTCTTGAGTGCCATCGTTTTCCTCAACCGGACCTGACCCAGTTATCAACTCCACCAGATCCCGGCTCTCTCTCCCCTAGCACGAGGTCAACTGTCACAGCTGGAACTGGAGTTATGGATGGTTGTGAACCACCGTGTGGATTCTGGGAACTGAACCGTGGCCCTCTGCAAGAGGACGTAACAGCTGGGCTATCCTCCCAATCCCCAACTCTGCTGATGTTAACTATCCCTTTAAAATGTCAAAGGAAGCACAACTCTCACATCGTTCAGGTCATTTGCGCCTCCCCATTAGATTGCACCCCCTTTCGGGGCAGCGATCTCCTCTCGTCACACCCCTACGCGCGCCATGCTTTCGCCTTAATGGGCATTGGTCGCCTGAGGTACAGGAGTCGTTCAGACTTCCCACCTGCTCACCCCACAGTGCGCTTACATGCCACTTCCCCTAAGCAGCCATAACGGGCCACAGGGGTAAAAGCGACGCGGGCCAGCGGCACCGCCGAGCTCACCTCACCCAGAGCCTGCAGGCTCTTCACCGCGCCCACCACCACCTGGTGCTCCACGCCCAGCTGAGCAGCCAACTCCGCGCTGTCCAGGCCGCCATCAACCGCCTCCAGCCGCCGCAGCAACAGCTCCAACACAGGGCTGTCGGCCATGGCGGCTGCCGGTAGGGTAGGAGCGTGCAGGCCGCCGGACGGACTGGGGGACCGGAACCGGAACCGCGACGGCGCGAGTCGCCATGTTTAATGTGGCACAGTGCAATTTGGGGGGGTGTCCGTCGCCATCTTAAGTGTGGCAGTTAAGCCCCAAATGAGCCTAAGAGATTCAGGATGCTTTATGTAGTTTCGTCCCAGAGGCCTTTAGTTAACTAGTGAGGTAAATTTGATGACTTGAAGGTCAAAAGTGGTTTTCATGTTTGTTTTTTATCTTGAGACAGGTATTATCTAGTGGAGGCTAACCTTGAACTCATCTCCTTGCTACATCTCCCAAGTGCTAGTATTACAGAGAAACACTATAAGGCCGGAATGAAAGTGATTCTATGGATTCCCCCTCGACCCCTGTAATTCCCATGTAGCCACCACCAGCAGGCTCAGATCACTGCCAGCTTTCTAGGGTTCTCTCTTGCCCGAAGCTATGGGTGGTGGGCTTCAGTCATGGCTATTCTGTTGATGTTTTGTGTTGTTTTTAGATTCCTTCACTTTATTGTGTTTCACCTGTACGTGTGTCTGTGCACCACGTGTGTTCATGGTGCCCTCAGAGGTCAGAAGAGGTCATCAGATCCCCTGGAACTGGAGTTATGGATGGTTGTGAACCACCGTGTGGATTCTGGGAACTGAACCGTGGCCCTCTGCAAGAGGACGTAACAGCTGGGCTATCCTCCCAATCCCCAACTCTGCTGATGTTAACTATCCCTTTAAAATGTCAAAGGAAGTCTGGGTAGAGACCATACCCATTTAGGGAAGAGAGATTCACCTAGAAACAGTTACAGAGTGTGCTGGCCTGCATGGAATACTTCAGGTTTTTTAAAGATCTTCCCAAAATTCATAATGTAGTTACTATATAAATCTACTTCACAGGAGAAAAAAATGAGGCTCTGAGGCAAAAATGACAACCACCAGAGAGCTGATGGACACAGCCAGGAAATTATAGCCTCCAGCTGCCACACTTCCCTGTGCTCCCAGGAGTTCAAGGCAGTCATATCTAATGGATGCTTTTTTAAAAGTGTGGGTCTCATTCATATGGGGTCCTGTGACTCAATGTGGGGGTTACCAAAAAGCTGGCAATAGTAATAATAGGTTTCTGAATACTCAGTGACCAAAATTAATTCAAAATCAAAGGCAGTGACCCAAGGTGTCTCAGGCCACACTTGGCCATGTTGAGCTAAGCTACCATTGTAGCGTTGGTTCTTTGCTTGCTTTTGATTTTTTGGCAGGGTCTCAATTTGTGTGTGTGCATGTGTGAATGCAGGCACTTGCATACCATGCCATACATGTGGAGGACAGTGGACAACTTTTAGGACTCAATTAACTCCTTCCACCCTGAGGTATAATTTAGTTCCTCAGGCATTTGCAACAATACTTGTGCCCACCATGCCATTTTACCAGCCCTAGCCTTGGTTCTGAACACAAAACATGGACACTGCTAAGTAAGTTCTGCCTAAGCTGGGCGGTGATGGCGCCTTTAGTCCCAGAACTTGGAAAGCAGAGGCAGGTGGATCTCTGTGAGTTTGAGGCCAACCTGGTCTACAGAGTGAGATCCAGGAAAGACAGGGCTACACTGAGAGACCTTGTCTTGAAAAACCAAAACCAAAATTAATTAATTAAAAAAAATACTTGCCAGGCAGTAGTGGTGTATGCCTTTGATCCCAGCACTTGAGAGGCAGAGGCAGGTGGATCTCTGTGAGTTTGAGGCCAGCCTGGTCTACAGAGTGAGTTCCAGGACAGGCTCTGAAGCTACACAGAGAAACCCTGTCTTGAAAAACCAAAAAAAAAAAAAAAAAAAAGAAGGAAAGAAATAAAAAACTTTCTCAAGTTTGAGACTATACTGTATGTTGTGTTTTCATTATGTGTACAAAGTTTTCTGGTTTGGTAGAAACACCAATGTCTTGGCATGTTAAACAGAGGCCAGAGGCCTTTAAAAGTTTTAAAATTTTGCCGGGCGGTGGTGGCACACACCTTTAATCCCAGCACTGGGGAGGCAGGGGCAGGCAAATCTCTGTGAGTTCGAGGCTAGCCTGGTCTACAAAACGAGTTCCAGGAAAGACACAAAGCAAAGCTACACAGAGAAACCCTGCTTGAAAAACAAACAAACAGCCGGGCGTTGGTGGCGCACGCCTTTAATCCCAGCACTCGGGAGGCAGAGCCAGGCGGATCTCCGTGAGTTCGAGGCCAGCCTGGGCTACCAAGTGAGCTCCAGGAAAGGCGCAAAGCTACACAGAGAAACCCTGTCTCGAAAGAAAAAAAAAAAAAAAAAAAAAACACATGAAAAACAAACAAACAAAAAAAATTAAAAATTAAAAATTTTTATTATTTCAAATTAATTGTAGGTATGTGTGTCTGCATGTGCATGAGAGTGCAGGTGCCCAAGGAGGCCAGAGGCCTGGGATTCCTGGATCTCCAGTTACAGTTGGTTATGGGTCCCTTTTCTACACTATGAATATGTATTACACTCATTGGTTAATAATAAAGCTGGTTGGCCTATAGCAAGGCAGCATAAAGTTAGGCGGGACAATCCAATTGAGGACTCAGATAAAGAAAGGCAGAGTCAGAGAGATGTGAGCCAGCCACCCAAGAAACAAGATGCTAGAGGACAGGTAAAGCCATGAGCCACGTGGCAATAAATATATAGAACAATAGAAATGGGTTAATTTAAATGTAAAAGCTAGTTAATGATAAGTTTGAGCTATTGGCTGAGACAATTGACAACTTTGAACCTTTTTCTATCATTCTCCAGTGGATAGCAAATTAGTGTACCTTTGGTTATAATTGTGTTAGAAGTCTTGATTTTAAAAATTGCTTTTTGGGGGATGGATATATGGGTGAGAGAGTAAGATCACTGAATGCTCTTCTAAAGGGCCCAGGTTCAGTTCCCAGCACCCACATGGTGGCTTACAACCATCTGTAACTCCAGTTCCTGGGGATCTGGTGCTCTCAGAGGTCAGGAAAGTACTGAATCCTATAAATCCAGGGATATATAATTAGACCCTGTGCTCAGAGATGGAGAACATACTGACTGCTTTACAAGAGCTCTGAGAAACCTCTTCATTCACAATTACTTAGCATATAGCATCCACAAAGCTGTCAAAACTTCTTCATTCACAATTACCTAACATATGGTATCCACAAAACTATCAAAACCTCTTCATTTATGATTCCCTAACATATAGCATCCACAAAGCTGTCAAAGCCTTAGACAATCACCATGCCCATTTTTGTGTACTTACATCCAACCACGATGGAGGCCCTTTGTGCTGAGCACAAAATGAAACTAAATTAAAGTTGATGACAACAAGAAAGTAGGTAAAAGGGTAAGCCTCTGTGTAGCAGGCTTTCTTGGACCACCAGCCCCCAAATCATGATGCAGAGACTTATTATTAATTATGAAAGCTTGGCCTTAGCTAAGGCTTGTTTCTAATTATCTCATAACTTAAATCAACCCATTTCTCTTAATCTACCTGCTGCCATGTGGCTCGTGGCTTTTCCCTCTCCTCCTGTATGTCCTGCTTCCTCTCGTCTCCTCGGGCATCTCCCTGTGCCTAGATTTAGCTCTTCTTTTCTCTCTGCCTGAAGTCCTGCCTAATCTCTTCCCGCCTACCTAGTGGCTATTCAGTTCTTTATTAAAACAATTAGAAGGCGCCTTTGCAAGAAGACACCTCTTCACAGTGAACCAAAAGTTTATTACACTACACCTCTGGAGCAGCCTTTCTTGAAACACCAGCCCCCAAATCATGAAATGGAGACATTAATTATGAATGCTCAGCCTTATCTTAGGCTTGCCCATTAGCTCTTATAACTTAATTTAACCTGTTTCTCTTCATCTACATTTTGCCTCAGGTCTTTTTACCTATCTTCCCTTCTGTATGTCCTACTTCCCTGCTTCCTCTGTGTCTGTCTGTCTGGCGGCTGCCTGGCTAGCTGGCCCCAGGTGTCTTCCTCTTTTTCTCCCTTGTCCCGCAAACCTATATTCCTCTTCCTACTTATTCTCTCTGCCCACCAGCCCTGCCTATCCCTACTCTGCCTAGCTACTGGCTATTACTAGGTGATATAATATTAGCTATTCAGCGGGGTTTTTTTTTTTTTTTTTTTTTTTTTTTTTTTTTTGTTTGGTTGGTTGGTTTTTTTTTTGGTTTTTCAAGACAGGGTTTCTCTGTGTAGCTTTGGAGCCTGTCCTGGAACTCACTCTGTAGCCCAGGCTGGCCTCAAACTCACAGAAATGCGCCTGCCTCTGCCTCCCGAGTCCTGGGATTAAATGTGTGCACCATCACCGCCCGGCACTATTCAGCTTTTATTAGATCAATCAGGTGCTTTTGGCAGGCAAGGTAAAACAGCAACATATCTTTACCTAGTTAAATAAATACAGCATAAACTAACACATCTTTACATAGTTAAACATTCTATTCCACAATATTTCCCCCTTTTTCTCTAAATAAAAAGGAAAGGTTTTAACTTTAGCATAGTAAAACTATATACAATGAGAACAATTATCAAGTAAGAATTGTATTCACAATATCCAGTCCATTTGCATTTGACAAATTCAGAGAAAATACTCCCTTATCTAGCCTATCTTGGTGAGTCCAAAGTTTTGTACCTAATTTACCTTCTATCATTACTAAGGAAAATTATAACTGTAACTACCTACTCTTCAACTCCATCAAAGACCTCAGAAGGGTATAATCTTACCTTAGTAAACAGGAGTTTTGTACCTAATTTACCTTCTATCATTGCTAAGGAAAATTATAACTATCTATCTTCAACTCTATCAAAGCCCTCAGAAGGGTTTAATATTACCTGAGTAAACAGGAAGTGCAGTACAAGCCACTTCCCAAACTGTAGAAACGACAGAGACATCTGGCTGCCTGGATAGTCACCCAAGATTTCTCTGCAATGTTGGGGCATCCATTTTCAGCCTACAGGCCTAGAATATCTGGTAGACTTTTCTGTGAAGCAGGAATTTTGAAGGGCTGTCCCACCTTGCCTTGACAAAGT